ACACACACACACACACACACACACACACACACACACACACACACACACACACACACACAGAATAAGTGTATTTCTAAGAACCCCTTTGGTGCGCTTTCACGCCGAAGCGCCCAGATTTTACCTTTCTTCACCCCATCACCACCCCGCAGCTGACACACACACACACACTGATGTGGAGAGTGTATCAGACTCTTTTGTTTTGAGGGGGTTTCCTCCTCACAGGGACCCGTAGGGGACTCCATTACAAATCAGCTTTCAGGACAAGATTTCCTCACTGTTCCCCTAAAACAGTGTTTCTCAACCCTGATCCTGGGCGCCCCCCAACACTGCACATTTTGTGTGTCTCCCTAATCAAACACACCCGATTCAAACACTGCCCTAAAACAATGATCAAAATCAATACATCAACATCAATAACTGGACAAAGCACAACGCTTTGTCCACTGGTCAAACAAACAGACTGGACTAAACGTTAAATCAAAAGTGGGAAAATAAAAGGATAGTTTTGATATTAATACTTGATACACAACAATATATATATAAAATGTTTTTTTTTTTAATATACACTTTTAAGTTAATATATATATATATATATATATATATATACACAAAATAAAAAGGACAACTTTTTTCCACAAACTTTTAATATTTTGTTTTTAGTATTTTTTTTCCTTCTCTTTTTCACACCAGCTGACCTGATGCTTTTATCACACCTGAATAAACATTTTAACCAACTTTGTCACTTCAACCAAAGTCCAACAAGTTATTATTATTAGCTAATTTTTATTTGCCTTGTTTTTAATACAACGCAGTGCTCAACCCATTATTATTAATATTATTAAATTGACACCACTGGCACTGAAACTGATGCATAAAATATTAGTTGTTGCTGTTATTTTTATTACAACTAATTTGGTTTAATTTGTGTCAAAGTACACCACTGTTTTGAACAATAACACTTAATCTGTCATGGCAGCTCATGACAAAACATTTTTTTTTAAATAAAAAATAAATGTATGTTTGTCCACAAATTATCACAAACATATTATAAAGAACTAAATGCACTGACAATACAGAAGGCAACGATCCCACCTAAAGATATGAAAAATGCTTAGTATTTTATATTGGAAATGTCTTATAAACCTGCAATGAAAACAAACCAATGTGGGAAACCAACCGTTACATGAAAACATGAGGCGAAACCGCAAGTTGTTTTGTGGAGATCGATTGTTTCAACAAACCACCAGCTGTTTTACTTTTGTTCTTTGTGCCCACGGTGCCTTTAAACAACCAGAAATCTCACACAAGCAACTTTAAAACAGCCTACTAGAGCTGGATCAAACCTAAATAACGAAATATCTCAAAATGAGTTAAAAGAATGAACAACTAATTCGTGCTACATTGAAGCCAACGCTCAGTGGATTGGTTTGGTAACACTGGCTGTGTCTCAAAACCTAGTGCGCTGCCTACATAGCTAGCATCGTGGGCTTCACGTGAGAACTAGAACGCGGTCTAGATAGGCTTCTTTGACTGGGCTAAGTAACACAGCCAAACACACTATGATTAGATACTATCGTTTTGATTGAAGATGAACCAAATCTCTGTAAATGAGCGCCTTACCTGTGCACCAGACGAGTGCAAAAGTCAGCCAGGTAACAAACATATTCCTTCCTTCGAGGATCCTGGCGATAAATGGTGTCCTTTATGCCGCGAAAGCATTTAAGAATGAAATGAAACACATGAACGCGAAGGCCTGCGCGCTATTCTTCACCCGCTACAATAACAGCACGAGCTCTTCACAACAACACAGTGTATCCCTAAGAAGCGCGCGGATCGGAAACAAAGTCCCTGATGACGCAAACATCCAGCTTTTCATTCTGACCAGGCGGCAGCAGTGGGAACGTGAGCTTGGGCGCTTGGAGTAGAAGCGAAGCCCCCTTGTGTGTGCCCTGCTGCGTGTTTCTCCCCCTCTGTCGGGGCAGTTGGAGGGGGAAGGAGGGATTGATATGCGAAAAGCTGAACGGCGTCCAAAATGGCTCCTGAGAGCCACAGCAGCGGTGTCAGCGGGAAACCCGGATGTTCATCAGGGCCACTGTGGACTCACTGCTGCTTTATCATCAGTCCAATGAAAGCAATGCAATCGAGAGAAATAATGATAAAAATTGTAGCTTACTATAAAATGCAATTACACTCAATAGAATTTCTAATTAATTGTAACATAACTTTATTAATTAAACCAATTAAATAAAAAACAAATTCTCCTATAAACTTGAACAATAATGTTGTAGTAACTTGTAAACTAGTAATATTTTAATTATATAATTAATTAAATTATAATTATATGTGATCCTGGACCACAAAACCAGTCATAAGGGACAATTTTTTGAAATTTGAAAATCAGTTGTCCAAATGAAGTAGCAATGCATATTACTGATAAAAAATCTGCATGGAACATGGTCTTAATACCCTAATGATGTTTGGCATAAAAGAAAAATCGATAATTTTGACCCATACAATTTATTGTTGGCTATTGCTACAAATATACTCGTGCTTCTTATGACTGGTTTTGTGCTCCAGGGTCACATATTAACATTTACATAGCAGACGCTTTTATCCAAAGCGACTTATGAGGACAATGGAAGCAATCAAAATCAACAAAAGAGCAATGATATACAAGTGCTATAACAAGTCTCAGTCAACATTTGAAAAGCTAGTGTTTTTTTTTTTTTTAAGAAAAGGAATACAGTGCAAGTCTAAAAGGTGTAGAATTAGAATAGAGAGTGCTAGAGGGTCAAATAAAGATGGAAGAGATGTGTTTTTAGTCGTTTCTTGAAGATGGTTAAGGACTCAGGGTTTTGTAGGCAAACATTAATGATATATATATCACACATCACATATTATATATATATAGATATTATGTTATAGTTGTATTGTCTTGTATTGTGTGTTTTTTGCTAATGGACCTTGAGTCTGGAAATAAAGTTGAACTAAATTTCCCCCATTGTATTATTTAACAATACATGGAAATTGAACATAATTTAGCACTGGAGAATATTAATATCACACTTTTGGATACAAGTAATGGCACATCCCACTCAAAATTATAATAATAATTATTATTATAAAATATTATCCCAAAAACCTGAACAACAAACAATTATACTACTTTAGTTATATATGACTGGCTTTTTACATAATATGGTCTAAATTAATAAAATAAAATAATTCAGATGTGCTTATTTGCCCTATTTCAACTATATTATATATAACCCTGCTTTACCATTGGACTTGAATATAAAATGTCTAAAGCTAAACTACACTTAAGTAAAAATAAAATTAACATGTCTGTGTTCAATTTGTGTTCAGTTGTACTGTTCAAACTGTGCTATATTAGACTTAACTGTTTTCAAATACATACAAACATGTGACCTGATACTAAACTACATCATTTATGATGACCTGGACAGACTTAGGACAGTTTCAGATGTTTAGTGAAGCAGTCAGCGCTAAACTCGGTCATGTCAAACGTTTCTTCTCTACACAACCAATCGAAGACACA